AATATGGTAGAAAACAAAAAAATCCTTGCGGAAAAATTAAAAAAACATTTGAACTCGCCGGAATATGTGGCGATGCCTGATTTAATTAAAAGTGGTGATTCTTCACCTAGTTTAACTTGTCACGGAGGAGAACTTATTATTGAAGAAAGAAAGTTTATCGATTTTAAAAAAGAACCTAGTCTGATTTACTATAACGATTTGGAACCCGCTGATTGGCAAGAAATAATTAATTTAATTAAAAAAAGAAATGAGGAAAGAAGAGCAAACTTTCAAGCCAAACAAAAGAAAATTGAGGACAAAGTGAATAGCCAACCAGGATTATTTTACTATCACGGAGAAGTGAACAAAGATGACCGAAGCAATTCTACATTTGATTATGGAGACAAAAAAGGAAGATATTTTGGTCTGTGGGGAAGCGAAAATGGTCGCAGTTTTTATTTAGAAATTAATAGTAAGCATCCAGTTTTAGATACTTTTCCTTTTGGAAAGCATGGGTATTATTTGATTGAAACTGACAAGCCCATAGAAAGAAATGATGGCGTGGTTCGTCCGTGAAGTAGTGGTGGCGAAAGTAATGCCTGTAATTTTCGTAAATGAGTAGAAGTTGGCGATAAAGTTACCATTACTCCTTATGAAGTTGAGAATGATAGTGAATTATCTGAAACTGAAAAAGCAAAATCGGAGGCAGAAAAAATAAAAGACTGTGATATTTGTCGAAAGAATGAAAATGAAATGGCTAAGGGTACGGAAAAATGATACTCCCTGAGGCGTTATCATGGACAAAAGAGCAAAATACTTCACACCTGCTCTAATTGTTATAAAAACAAAGAGCAAGAATATTTACAAAATTATGAGTTTATTTTTACTTTCCCCCGAAAAGATTTAACGCATGATGGCATTCCCTTTTTTGTTGAAACTATAAAAGGAGGTAAAACTGATTGCTACGCCGGCCATAAAGACCAAAATGGCAAAATATTACAACAACAAAATTGTTCCCATTGTCAACCTTGGAAACAGCACCAAAATCTAAAGGTAAGTGAAATGGATATCAAATCTTTAATTCAATACTTACAAAAATACAGTATCAAGGAAATAAGTTTCAAAAATGGCGAACTAATCATTACGCATAATAATAATAATAATAATAATAATAATAATAATAAAATTGTTTCCACAGAACAAATAAATAATAAGCAAGAATTAGTTACAGCCCGCAACCTTTTTCAAAAGAATAACCAAACAAAAATAACTAAGGAGGATTTAGAAAAAATGATTAATCCTAATTCCACCTCAACTAAAAATCCGAAAGGTGATAATGCCCTTTGAATTGGTATTGGCATTGGAATAGTATTAATAATTGGAGTAGTGGTTGGCTTAGTGGCAAGCAAGAAAAGAAAAAATAAAAAATAGTAATATATGGAGCAATTGGAGGTCATTAATCATAAAGGTGAGGTAGTAAATAAACTTTCTCTTAATTCGGTGAGGTGGGAGGTTCCGCTTTCTAAATGAAATATTTCTCTCGTTAATCGTTATTATTTGACTAATCAACGTCAAGGGACTAGCAAAGTAAAAACCCGTGGCGAAGTAAAAGGTAGCACCCGAAAAATTTATCGACAAAAAGGGACGGGTGGAGCACGCCACGGTCATCGATATGCTCCCCAATTTGTTGGCGGGGGGGTATGTTTTGGTCCTTCTGGGGTGAAAAATTATAAATTCAAAATCAATGAAAAAGAACTAAAAAAAGCTCTCCAATCACTTTTAGGAGAAAAAATGAGAAATAAAGAATTAATGTTAGTTGATAAATTAGAACTAGATAATTATAAAACCAAAGAAGCCGAGAAATTTCTTAACATTTTACCAGCCAAGCAAACCAAAACTTTACTCATTTTAGCCCACCAGGAAGAAAATAAAGAAAAAATAATCCGTTCATTTCGCAATTTACCTTATATAAGTATTAGTGATAGTAAATCAGTAAACGCTTATCAAGTAATGTCCCCCAATTACCTCATTTTCACTCACTCAGCTTTTTCAGAAATAGAAAAAAGGTTGAGTTAGAAGGTTAAAAAAAATTAATTATGCCAACTCTAAGAACTAACAAGAATAAAGGTGTAAGATTAATTCCTCTCTCAAAAACTAAAAAAATAGACAATTCTGCCTTAGTGGAGCCAAAAATAGTTAATTTGGCTATTCATTTAGAGAAATTGACCGCCCAATTAAGTGATGGTCGGGAGTTAAGTATCCCGATTGCTTGATTTGCGAAATGAGGAGTAAAGGGAGTTAGTGCGGATAAACTAAAAAGACATGAAATTTGAGAAGGAGATGAGATTTATTTTCCTGAAATAGATGAAGTAGTCGGAATTGAAAGTTTTACTAAAGGCTTTGATGCTGATTGTGAATAATTTATGCCAACTTGAAAGATAAATGGTTATCAATTTTACTTCCTCTCGGTGGAACCTTTAAAAAAGAATAAGCCCGCTCATATTCATGTCCGGGGAAGCAAGCATGGCAAAATCCAGTTTTGGTTGGAAAAAACCGACACTAAATCTAAAGACGAAATTAATAAGGTTAAGAAAATTAAAGGTCGGGTCTCTGATGAGGAAAAGAATGAGACCGAAAGAATTGCTAAAAAAAATAAGGATTTGTTTTTGAGAGAGTGAAATAAGAGAAAAAAACTAAAATTATAATATAATAAAGTTATATACAAAAAGAATGCCAAAATAAAAATAATAAAACCATGTCAGAAAAAATAATTAAATGTGCGAAATGCCAAAATAATGCGGGAACTAAACCTAATTGAAACGAATATACTAT